ATCAAACATAGAATATAAATAAGGAATTTGAATCCCTTCTTTCAATATTGTTTCGATATCAAATGTAATAATTTTAATATTAGATTTATTTTTAGTGTTTAATTTCTTAATATATTTAGTTTTTAATATTTGAGTTTTTAATATAATAATTTCATCTTTAATATAATAATTAATATTATTAATATTTCTAATGAAAATATTATCTTTAAAATGTGAATCTATAAATGAAAATATTAATTTATTTTTTATAAAAACATCAATTTTAGTAAATTTTGAATTTTCTTTAATAAATAAATTGTAATTAAAATTAGTAATTTCTCCTCAAGATGAATAATTAGTATTTAATGGTAACAGATAATTACCAAATTTCTCTAGTTTTATTGGTTTAGGAGAAGCTAGTAATTCAGACCATTTATCAATGTAATATTGTTCTTTATCTTTCTCAATCAAGAAAAAATTGAATATTATTTTAGAATAATGATCTGGTTGCGAGATCTTAGAGATAATAAATTCTTAATAAATTCGATATAATTATTTAGTGAATGTTTAGATATTACAATACCTTTATGCATTGTTTTGGTAGATCCATCTGTAAATTCTATTTTCATTAATAGAAAATATTTATTATCTTTAGATAAGTAAGTGAAGAAGTTTTTTATGACATCTGAAAAATCATCAAAAGAAGTTATATTATTATGAAGAAAATATATAATTTCATTTAATCCTTTATTATGTAAATTTTCTTTAATTTGAGGTTTATGAATTATAAATGGTGTTATTAATAAATATAAAATATCATTATTTTGAGAGGCTAAGGTTACAAGAAATATAAAACTAAATATACTTATCCAAGATCCTATTGACTGAATATAAAAAGCATTTGCACCTGCTCTGGTATAAGTAAATATTTTAGTAAATATTCTGTGAAATAATATATAAGGCGCTGGCGCGATTATATTATTTATTCTAGAAAGTAGGGCGTTAGCCACTAGTTTAATTAGGATGGAATTCATCATTACTCAACAGTTTTATATTAATATTTTGTTTTTAAATAAGGTCGAGTATTTCTACCTAATAGGAAAGATAGTACTGTTTAATATGAGCTTACCTACACTTATAGCATTAAATGGTAAATTTTGTATAGTGTTCAAAAAGAGTTTTAAAGGTAAAACTAAAAATATAGTATAATAAAAGTAATAGTAATATTGTACGATATACTACTTTAAGCAGCCAATTTAATCAATACTATATTGATTATTCATGATCGTAACTAATGTTTTTATATAATAAGAATTTTTTTTTAAACAAAATAAATAATATTAAGGTAACAATAAGTTATCTTTAGGTCTTAAAAAAAAGAGATCAACGTTTTTTTTAATTATATTGCAAACGCTGAACATTGGTCAAATCTCGCATTGGCGTATAATTTAATTTATTTAAATTATTAATTTATTTTAATTTATTATAAAAACAAAAAACAAAAACAATGACAAATTTACACTTCTACTTTCAAGATATAGGTAATTCTTTATTAGTTAATATTTTTAATTATGTCACTATTAAAGAAGTTATCACATCTCTTTTCAATTTTTTTGAATATAACTATTTGGATATATTAGCCTTTTTTATGTGACTGATTGGATTCGTTATTCTTATGTCAAGTATAGCTAAAGGAACTCGGGAAACTCTAAAAGTTGGAGGAGCCCTAACTACAATAGGATTGGGAGCACCTTATCTTTATAAATCAACTAATAGCTCCAGTGGTAGCACAGATAATAACAAGGAAGATAAAAGATATGATAGTAACAAAGATGATAACAAGAAAGAGAATAAGGATGAACAAGTAAACAAAGAAATGTTGCCTCTTTTTATAAAAAATAAACTTAAGTTACAAACATCCCGATTCTCTAGCATATTACCATTACTAGGTATTGATATTCCAAACAATGCTACAACCTTACATGTTTATGCTTTTGCAGTATTATCTTTTTCAATTGTCGTTTTATGGAGTTTATCTTCAGTTTTAGGTTATTTACTTGGAAATTATCTTTTAACTAAATCAAATTTCGAGGTACGTTTTCCTAAAATATCTTTGATTTTTAAATCTTATAGAACTCTTTCTTTAGGTTTTATTATAGTGCAATCAATTATCTGTTTTATTTCTATTTTAGCTCTAATTATATCATCTTTTTTCTTTATTAATATTTAAAACTCATAAAAAGTTAATTTATATTTTTCGCCCCCATTCTTTTTTACGTGTGTTTCAACGTTAGTGTAAATTTTTATTTTTATCATATAGCTGGCGCGACTTTATCGTTTTTATAATATTTAATGAAAACTTATTATCATTTTATAAATTATTAAAAAAAATAAGGATTTATCTCTTGACGTTATTCTTTCTATATCACTAAAATTATTTTTAATTGTATTCTGGATAGGCTAGGCGATAAACTATCTATACACTACCCGTAAGTTGTCATTTTAAGATTGAGTGTTCCGGCATCTCCTCGTCCTCGACAGCGACAGCGACAGCGACAGCGACAGCGACAGCGACAGCGTAGCTGGGTGCTGGGTGCTGGGTGCTGGGTGCTGGGTAGCTGGGTAGCTGGGAGCTGGGAGCTGGATGATAGTGTTACAGAAATTGTCGCCAGTAACAAATAGTCAATCTCTATAGCACACTTAATATTTTAAATAAATCTTTAAAAACATTAACCGGTAAACCTTATAGATATATTATTAATATCATTTCTCGTCTCGTTGCGTAGCCAGCTAACGCCTTAACGCCTAAAGGTTTTTTTCTGGTAATCTTTATAGAATATTAACACTCCCTATTTAACCACCAATAGGCGCTAGCGCGATATAGTATAAAAATGACCCAATATTTTATCCAATCTTAAAGTCTATGTTTATAAAAAGATTTGTGGTATTATTTTTGTTAATACTCTAAAAAAAATACGTTTTTGTAGAAATGTAGAAAAAACTTCCAACTAATTAAGTATATTAAATATTAATAGAATACATTAGGTTATAGTTAAATTTGTTATAACATTGTGTTATACAAGTAATCAGTTCAAGTTTGATTAACCTCAATAAAAAAATTATAACAATAAAAAATTTTTAATAGTATTCACTAAAATATTTAGTAGTTTAAATAGTATATTTTATACTAATAATGCAAATTATATTAGAAAACTATCAGATATTAATGTAGATATTAAAGAAATAAGTTTTTACAGTAACGGTAGATACTACATTCTAACCAATAACAATTTAAGGCGTTAAGGCGCTCCGGCTACGAGAAGTATAAAAATACACTTGGTTAATTAATAACGGTTATAAAAAAAAATAATTACTGGCGAAGAATATCACGTAAAACTAACATGAAAAATTATTCTTATCTTTTATCTATATTCTTTTTTTTTATTCTATCTCTTTTTATGCTTTCTCCTTTTTCTATCTCTATAGATACAGAGGCGCCTAAGTATTTTACCAGTTTTAAATTCACAGAAAATAGAAGAATTTAAATATTGGTTAGTAGGGGTCGCTACCGCACAGACGGTGAAGGTTGTTTCTTAAAAAAAGGCGCAGGCTCCTTCGGCTCTCAAGCCAGCATTTAATTCTTTAACTTTTAAATATGGTATTAAATTACACTCGAGCGTTAGAAATTATCAAAGAGAAACTAGGAGTAGGGTATATTTATAGCCATGATGATACTGTTGAGTTCTCTGTGGAGCGCTCGAATAATACACGGCTGAGACTAGATTTGATACAAATAAATGGTTAGACTTTTTAGATTTTAGGAAAGGCGGTATGCGCATAATGTCTAAAAGAAGTTAAATTCGTAATGCTGAGATAATTAAAGAAAGACTCGAAAAAAGGTATGAACAAAGGTAGACTTTTACCTCATGTCTCTCGCTCTAGCAGTTACGACCCTCCTCGCCATTTCCCGACTTTAAATTAAATGCTATTTCTCCTTCCTCTCGCTCTAGCAGTTACGACCCTAGAACAGTTAAATCCAATAATAGAAACAAGCCTAATTTAAACAAGAACTATCTCTATATCGCTGCGCAGCCAGCCTACCCTCAATGGGTAGTTGGGTTTATAAAGCAATTTTCTTCGGTCCCGAAAGCTGTATTTAATCTCACTCAAAAATACAGTAGTTTTTTAGTCTTACAAGCATTAGAAAAAAAAAATTTTTTTTATTAATTTACCTAAATTATACTAACCTACTACTGAAGTTATTAATAAAAAAAAATCTAATAAATGGTTTAATGCTAAAACAAATTGTATTGTGTTAACCTGGTTAAATATAGATTTTTTATTTGCTGGCGCCCTTTTTTTAGACAGCTACATTAACGCTTTTATTACAAGAAAGAGGATTTTTTATCTTGGTTTATTGTTCTGAAATTAAACAAAACTGGTATTATTCATCTGCATAATAGCTGAAGTTTTGTTTTCAAACATGAATCATAGAAGATACTCTAATAATTTTAAAACTGGAGCTCTTCGCTATAGTAATGAAATAAGATATATCAGTCCCAATAAAATACAATTATCATTTACTCCTATTTATAAGCTAGAAAGTGGTAAAAGTCCTTTTTATTTTAGTCAAGATTATACTAGAGAACTAGTAAAAAAAATAGAAAATTAAACAATGAGAAACTATTTTATATCGCTCTCTGCTGCGCTGGCGCCAGCGAGCGCCTGTAAGATCTCATAATGGGGAACTCTTTTATACTTTTGATAAACTCTCTGTTTGGCTCGTAAAAAAAACTCTTAACATTTCATAATCAACATTTTATAGTTTATTGAACTCTAAAAGAGTATATAAAAACAAATTTAGTATCACTTCAATTCACGCCGAAATATTATACAATTAATAAAAGCGAATGTGTTGAAATTTGGTAAACAATCTCCTCTTAAGCAGGAGTGGAAGTAATTCCTTAAGAGTTCGAGTCTCTTTGTTCGTATCCGTGTTACAATGATAGTGTATCCTTTGAAGCGAGATGGTGTAAAGGCTGCATACCAGTTTCATGGCCTGTTGGATTAGGTTCGATTCCTAGTGTCGCTAAAAAAAAATAATTTATTTTAATTATAAAAATTTTTAATAAATAGTTTTTATTATTTAAATTTCATATTAAAAATAATTCTTTCTTTTTTTTAGTACTATTAATTTATAAATTTATATTTTGTAAATTATAATAGCTTTATATTTAAAGAGGAATTTAATTTGTAAAAAAAAACTTATTAAACTTATATTGTATTAAATAATAATTATTATCTTGTATTAAATTACGTACTTTGTATAGTCATTTTAATTTAATAATAATTGTACTTACTAATACTATTATATAATAATTTAGAAATAAGTGATTAAATTTTTATATAAACTGTCCCTTAAAATAATAATTATAATATATTCTTGTATTAAATACGTACAGGCGCTGGCTAACAGCCAGCGATATAATAATATAATATTAAATATTATTATTTAATAATGTAAGATTATTATTATTTTAAGACAATAATTGTTAAAAAAAGAATATAATAAGGTAATTAATATAAAATTTATAAAAAAAAAATTCAATCTTTTTCTCGCGCTAGCGCCTAAATTTGAGGTCTTTTAGTATAAAGGTTGTACAGCTACCCTTCAAGCAGCTAGTATCAGTTCAATTCTGATAAAGATCAATCATATAAATATATAAAGATATATATATAAATATCTAATAAAAAATAGTAAATAATTATATAATATATATTATATATAAAGATAATTAGTGGAGTAACATTTAAATATGCCATAGTTGGTATAACAAAATAATAATGAGCTTAATAGGAATTAGTTGATAGTTAGTTAGTTCATTTTTTAATAATAAGTATTTTTTTTTAATTTTATGAATTCCTGGCTATCTTCTACTAATGCTAAAGAGATAGGTACTCTTTATTTAGTTTTTGCAGTATTTGCTGGAATGATTGGAACAGCATTTTCTGTATTAATTAGATTAGAGTTATCAAGTCCAGGTGTTCAAATTTTACAAGGAGATCACCAATTATTTAATGTAATAATAACTGCACACGCATTTATCATGATTTTCTTTATGGTCCGTGCTCAACTAAAACAGTCACTAAAGAAAACTTAAGTTATGTTATTTATATCGCTAACAGCCAGCGCCTAAATATAAAACATTGGCTTAGTTTAAAAAGCTTTTCTACTACATCTGGTTTGTCGGCGAAAAATACCAATTTAGAAAATAAGAAAGAATAATTCTAATAATACTCGGCGCCTTATTATAAAGTTGTTATTCTAGATCCCTTTAATAACCGCTTAAAAATAGCTGAAGTAGCTAAAGGTGCTAGAGGTGTTTACCTTTTTGAGACAGATGACAATAAAGCTAGGCGCTCGCGCAGCAGAGAGCGATATATGTAGGTAGTTCTATTAATTTATATAATAGAGTGTGTTCTTATTTTATGCCTTCTATTTTGTCTAAATCTAATCGTTGAGTTCTTCGATATTTCCGGGTTTTAAAAATGTTAAACTTACTCTTTTTATTGTGGATTCAACAGCCCGGCGAAGCATGCAAGCTAGCCCCCCGAAGGCGCCGAAGGCGCCGAAGGCGCCGAAGGACTTGCAGATAATTGCTACAATATTTCATTGATTTACTTTTTCCTAGTTTAAATGTAGATTTAGAAGCAGGTGGATTTAATGTTTATCACACACGTCAAGAAGCACGAACTATTCTTCGTAAGTTCTGTGGAACACCTATCTACGTTTATGTTAATCTTACCAAATCATTAATCTTTTTATCTTATTCTAAACAATGGTTATACGCGGGCGCATATTATCGCGCCAGCGCCTATTAAATAATTGTTTGGCTCGTAAATGGAAATTTATATTTGCATGCTTCGGCTCCTTCGGCTCTCCAGCCAGCGCTTCTCTCTAGATATTATTTCAGAATTCCCTTATGAAACAATAATTACTTCAGATAAATTAGTATCGTAAATGGAAATGGTTCGAAGCAAGCAAGAGTATTTTAGCTGAAAATATACTTAAACCTGAATTAACTCGTACTTTTTCAAGTATCGGTGAATTAGCTCGACTATTAAAAGGAGATAAATGAACAATTAGATCTTATGGCAAATGTCAATCTAAAGGTTTATATAGGAATCAATGGAAATTCACTCTAATTGAGTCTCTAATAATAATTGCATAAAATATCATATAATAATGAATATTAATATAAATAATAAAGTAGTAATATTTATTAATATATGCTCAAAATAAGTAGTTAATAACATATAATATTACCTCATTAAATTATAATCTTTAGTTAATAATAAGATGTTTTAAATATTATCATTTAATGCTGCGCAGCAATTATTATTTAATTACTCATACTAATCATATAATAATTTATTTTTAGTTTAATGAGAATAACATAACATTAGTTTATTAGTTTAAACTAGTTTTAATAAGCAAAGGCATGGCCGGGATATATAGTAATATTTATCTTTCTTCTTGCTGTGTGCTGGAAACCCCTTAGAGTTTTACTAACTAGATCTACTTAAAGGTAGGAAACAGTGACATAGTAAAAATTGGGCAATCAGCAGGAAACCAAAAGCATATATTAGTAGAAGAAATAATATTCGCATCTCTTTGTCTTTAAATAATAAAAATAATATACTTGCTTAAAATATAAATAATATATTTATTAGATATGTATAATTATATATATAATTTTTTTAAGGTGTTAAGATTATTATTAATTTAAAGGGTATAGAGACGATTAAATACAATAAGAATTCTACATGTATGACTGAGTAGGATCCTCAGAGACTATACGCAAGATATCCTTTAAATATAACGTTAAATCTGAAAAGGATAAAGATATAGTCCTACCCTATTAGAAATTTTAGGGAAAAAGTATGCCTGCTTTATTAGGAGGTTTTGGTAACAAAAGTTCTATTTTATTTCTTAATAACATTTCTAACTCCTCCAATTGTTCAAGTTTAGATCTTTCTAATCAAAAGCTAAAAGAGGATTCTTCTCTCGTAACTGATATTAAATCTAATTCACAATTATGTTCTTATTTAGCTGGTTTAATTGAAGGTGATGGAACATTTGCTGTACACGATAAAAAATCCACAGCAAAAAAATATTCGCCTATGATTATTATTGTTTTTAAGAAGGCCGATCTACCTTTAGCTGATTTTCTACAATCAATAACTAAATGTGGACGTGTTCTAATAAAAGCTGATAGAGGTTATGTTCTATGGCAAATTCAAGATCTTATTGGTGTTTATACTATTGTAACTCTTATTAATGGTTATATGCGAACACCTAAAATAGAGGCTTTAAAGCGAACTATTTATTGGTTTAATGAATACATAGCTAATAATCAAAACAGCAAACTTCCTAGCACAAAAAATATCTTATCTAAAATTAATTCGCTTGAAGTTAAGGCTATGGATAATTCAGCTATAGATAGTAATCCTTGGCTTTCTGGATTTTCAGATGCCGATTCTAAATTTTCTATTAATATTCATAAAAGATCTAATAAGAATTCAATAAGAGTCCAATTATTTTACCGTTTAGAAATAAGACAAACTTATCATAGATTAAATAATGAAGAAGACCAAGTTAGTTTCTTTTCTATAATGTCTAAAGTGGCCACTTTTTTAGGTTCAAATGTACTAAGTCGAAGTAGAATCATAGGTGAAAAACAATATTATAGCTTTATTGTGATGGCTCATAATCAAATGAGTCTTAATAAAATTATTGAGTACTTTTCACAATTTCCACTTCTTTCTTCTAAATTTTTAGATTATAAAGCTTGGGCTTATGTTCTAGAATTACAAAAAGCTCATTCAAGAACTACTACTTATTTAGAAGAAGCCTTAAATATTAGAAACAATTTTAATGCCACTCGAACTACTTACAATTGGAATCATCTTAAAAATTGTTATTTAATAAAATAAAAGTTGCCGTGGTTGACTGTGAAGTCAGCCTTATTACGTTACTATTTGCGGGAAAATCCTAAAGTCCACTTATAGAACATACTGAAAACTTGATCACACCGTCGCCTAAGCGCCTATGGGTGATACACAAGAGTACAGTAGTCTTAAACATTAAGGGGAATAATCTACTTATAAAAATGGACAATCCGCAGGAAACCAAAATAAAATCCTTATTAACATATGCTGCTTATAATAAAACGCATACTTAAAATATTGTATATAATAATGCTTTGTATTAAATAATAATACTTACTATTAAGCAACGTAGTATGCGAATAAGCGTAAGTAAGATTATTTAATAATATCCGTACGTCGTAAAGGATAAATTATTGTAGGATCCTCAGAGACTATACGTAACGCGGTTATTTAACCTGAAGATATAGTCCAATCATACTCGAAAGATTATGTGTAAATGAACTATTTATTACCAGTTCAAGTAGGAGCTCCAGATTATCAAAAGATGTTTTATTTATCTTCAATCAAAAACAATCGAGAGAAAACAGTCGATCGCTCTACAAAATCTTTACCTTCTATAACTACAAAGGATCCAAATATGAAAATAGAATCAATAAAGTCTTATTTAGCTGGTATATGGGAAGGAGACGGGCATATTTTTCTCCTGCGTCGAGCGCCTCCCTTGTCTCCCATCAGACACGATCTCCGTCGAGAAAACAAAATATATCCTTATTTAGCTATAACCTTTGTAAGTAAAGATGAGCCTTTAGTAATTCATTTACAAAAGTTCTTTGGTGGTAATATTCGAGACAAAGAAAATGCGTTAGTTTGGACTATAGGTAAGATAGGCGAACTTATAAGTTTTGTAAATTTTATTAACGGTTCTTTACGTACACCTAAAATATATGAATTTAATCAATTAATTTCATGGTTAAATAAAAACTATCAGTTAAATATTAAGGAGAACTTACCTGATAATAGTCCATTAATGGAAAATGGCTGGTTCTCAGGTTTTTTTGATGCGGATGGTGGATTTAAAATTAGATATACTGATAAATTATTAGATAATAATTCTAAAGTTATCCGAAAAGGACGAATAGA